AAGCAAAAAGTTCATCAACAGAACTGAGTTGGCTGTGTCTGGGATGAACGGTGCACACATTTTCCTGGCCACCATACCGGTTTCTGACTTTTCGGCCTCACGTTTTGCAGTAGGCAAACTTTTTGGTCATGTGTATTTTCTATACAATAAAAATAATATACATACCTGCGGATATCTGGAATGTCGCGGCCAGCCATCGATACTCACGATGATTCTCTGACCTTTCAATGTTGCTGCTTGTCTTGTTTCTATTCTAATCTTTGGGATTCTTCGTTCTGCTGGAATAAATATGTGTCTTGTACCCTGTAAGAACAAACACATTTTATCCATGCTGTGCAATGAATAACAATTATCATACATTTGCATACCCAGTTCTTTTAAGATAGAAGCCTAATCATAATTTTTAACAAAATTAGTCATAAATCGCATGAAAATGTTCATTAGTTTATTATGTACAATCATGAAGCTAATGTCCCATTGTACAATGAAATAGCATTATTTTGTGTGTTGAGAAATGTGAAAAAGTACTCCATCATTAACTATATATAATTTATTCAGCCTATGTCACCAGGATAGATTTTGAGATATTGCATAATATCTCTGCCATAAGAACCTGTGGTAAAAGTGTTATAATAGTGACTTTTCCTAAATATAACCATCAATTTCTCAAAAAAAGGGCTTTTTTTAGGTCAATATTCTTATAATGCCTTGGAGTATGGTTTATTGCAAAATGAATGAATTCTGTGTATTTTAATTTATGAGTAGGCTTCTACCTTAATGTAAAGTTTTATCTGACTGATTCTATATGAAAAAATAAAGTAGCATAAATACAAATTTTACTGACAATTTGAATATTTTTTTAATTAATTTGGTAATAGGTTTTGTTATCTCCTTCAATGCCATTTGATATAATTTAACTTTTTAATTTCTCCGCCCAAAATTCTAGTGTAAAACTTTGCACATTTTTATATTTTTTCCCGCAATTTATTGATTAATTGTGAACCAATTAGACATAATTTGATATTAGATATAATATAAATATTAGTTGAATTATGCAGGTTTATTCTGTGAAGAGAACAAAATAACTACTGGTAATATTTATTATTGAGAAGTGTAATGA